TTTTTTTCAAGTAACGCGCTGTTACGACCTCGTTTAGCATATTCGAATTCCATTGATTTCATTAATCGATATAATGATATGCGGGAGAAATTTGGTAGACTTTTATCTTCATTAACTACCGTCAAAATTTTATCTAACGTCGGCAGTTCACGATTAAACCAAAACTGATGGATTTTCCTTCTGATGGCATATTTATCAAAATCGTCAACTTTTGTTTCAACGTTTTTGAAAATTTTTATTTTGTTTGGCGAAGACACTGTTTTGTTTTCGCGATATTGGGCAATTGTGTTTGAAATTGTCTTTTGACCAATTCCCAATTCCTTAGAGAGGATTTCGCGCGCCTTTCTAACAGTCAAATTTGGATCGACTGCCAATTTGGATTTATACGCATTAATTATCATTTCACGTTGACGTGAACAAACAAACTAAAAAAAATAAATATATCTTGTTATCTACATTTTTATAAAAATGAAAATCGACTTTTTCAATTTTAAACGTTTTTAAATGAAGTGAGAAATTTAGTACTACAATAGTAATATTACTTAACATTTTTTTTTAAATTTTTTATACTAATTTATCACAATAATAGTTTTTAAAAAAATGTTTGAAAGCGAGAATATTATTTACCAAGCACTGGATTTGCACAACATTTATTTTTATAAAAAACATTTCGAAATTTAAAATTAAAAGTATTTTAAAATTGTAGATTTATTTAATAAATTATTTTAAAACAATAAATGTATACCATATAATTAGTGTAATTAACTTTCGAGTTCATTATACTTTACTGGAAATAACGTAAAATAGTATGAATAGTTTCATCGTAAAAAAAGATAATATCTTTAAATTAATCTTTATATTTTTAAAATTGCATTGCATATAGTAAAATTAATAGTACCTACCAATATAAAATAAGTTTTAAGTTGTAAGTAGTTTTAAATTATTAAAAATTGAATTATTACATCGTATTGTATTTTATTTTCATACCCTACCTATCAAAATCGAATATTCACATGTTGGGTTGATTTTTTTTACAAAAGTTAAGTTTATAAATGAATAATGAGCAGTTTTATATTACGTAATTTCTAGTGTTGGTGAAATTACTATTTTTTGGTAATTAAATTACATTACTAATTCCTTATCAAAATTGTAACTAAATTTTTTTAAGTTAATTTTTTATTTATTTGGTAAATTTACATTTTTTTTGAGTTTAATACTACTATAATTACTTGTTGTTATTAAGAAAAAAATGTTTTAAGGCTACGATACTGAGAAAGACTTAAAAAAGCAAAATATCATTTTAACTTTTAAATATGCAAAAATATATATGCAACATAGAATTTCACATTTAACATCATAGGTTTTTAAAACAAATTAATAGCTCAAATATACGTCTCCAGATCCTCTAAAAAGAAATGTGTAAATGCTAGAAGTTATGAGTTCTGATCATTATAGTTACTAAAAATATACAATTTAACTATAATATTTTTTTATATTTTTATATTTTATTTTTTTAAATAGAAGTTTCTTTCGATCTTTCAAAATTAAACGGATTTCAATATTATTTTTTCTTCATATTACAAGTAAATAACTCTATGAAATAGCTGTTTTCAAATGTTCAAAAAAATGTAAGTGGTTTTTTATTATTTTTACTTTGACCAATATTAAAGGTAGGCAATTAGTCATATTTACATTGAAAAAACTGCATTACAATATCTGAATTATTTTTCGAATCACAACTACTGACATTCTAGTTAATTTACATACTGTATTGGTAACTGGTTCTTTAAAAAAAGTTTTTTATTATTTTCTCCGAATAACCTTTTATTGACTTAAGTCATTTCTCAAATTGGTGGTTCATGTACATACTCGCTATAATATATATTAAAATATTATCGTAAAAACTCGATATGTGATTTTGGATAAAATGCCCAAACACGTGTTTTTGCCTACCAAACTATTAAATTGAATAACTGTAAATAATAGTTATTTGCCTTATAACTTATATAGTTATAAAGTATATAAACAGTTCACATTTGTTACATAAAAGATAACGTAGTGAATTAAAATGCTGTATACCTACATTGAAAAAGTTTCAGACACAGATGCACAGTTTACAAAAAAAAGGTCATTTGGGCACAGTTGGTATGTCCTTATATGGATACAAAACGACTCATATTATAAGGAAACAATAGAACATATCGGTTTACCACATGGTAATACGTTTTTGTGTTCAATATCCTTGAAAAAAAATATTTTATACGTGTCTCATGTATATCACAGAAAAACACTTTAATATAAAATAAATGTTATACTTAGGTGTATAAATTAGTTACAGTTACAAAATACTTTTTTATAGAAAAAATTGGGTATCAGTATCTTGTTCAACAGTTTTATAAATATTTCTTTAACTAAATCTTTGTAATAGATGTTATAGTATAAAGCGTTAAATTTTTTAATTGGTAAAGAAGTAGTATTCGGTTTACTTTTTATTTAATTTTGTTAATGAAATGAATATAGTTTAAATATTAGTAATTTGTTTTTTCATGTTATGTTTCGTATTTTTGATTATAAAATTTAATATATTTTATATAAGGCTTATAATCAACCCTTGATTCAACTAATAACTTAAACCGCATGAACTTCATTTTTTAATCGACTGTTTTTCAAAATTTAATTAAATTTCTTATATTATATCACGTTTTTAAATTTGAATATTTGTTACTTTACGGCTTCTATGAAATGGTCGATATTCCTTTTCTTAAACAATTGATTCAAGTTAAAAAAATATACATACCTTTCCTTTGATATTTCGTTTAACCGCCGACGAAAATTCTACTCCAGCCATTTCTTCTTCGGTAAATAAAATAAAATTAAAAAAAATAATAATGAAAAATCAAATGCAATTTAGGTACTGAGCGTTTGCTAGTGACGGTGTGCTGCGTGTAAACAGGATATTACAAATGATACACAAAAAAGATTGGAATTTGAATCGTTCGGTATAACGACCAGTCAAATATTTATCATCGGATAGGAGCGCTAGCAACCATGCTAATCAAACAAGTGGTTCCCTGGACAAAGTGGGGGATGCGCGCCGCCGAACGGAAACTGGTCGCCGCCCGGTGTCTTCTCTTTTGAAACGGAGTATAGGATACTGAAACTAATGAGGAAATATTATATGGTGATACAAAACCTAAGTTTGTTGAAGTCAATGAAAACTTTACTAGTAGTCCAAATTTGTTTGACCTAGATAGTCCAGTCCATTCCATTCCAGACCGTCCAGTCCGTTAACTTTAAAGTCAGGCATTATTGCAAAGGTTCCCAAATGTAATAGATTTGAACCATATTTAAAACCATGCTCTTCATATAATTCTTCAACAACACTGCATTCTAAATATGGAAATTTCAAACCTATGGAATGGACTGATTATGTAGGCTAATAATTTAAATTAAAGTTTTATTTTAAAAATATAATATCTATGGTAGGTACCTATATATTGATGTATGATCCTTATGTATTATATTCTGTATATATAGACTGTATTAGAACTGTTAAATACAACTAATGATGGAAGATATGTCACTGCTAATGCCAAGTTAAATAATGGGTTTTTATCTGACGAAGGACAAAATGTATTAACTAAGCTATTGATTAACCATCTGTTTCAAGACCAACACAAGTACCTTAGTCAAATTTATTTATTTTTTTATCCATTTACAAATGAGTTTCAAAAATATTTTTAAGTAATCATATATAATGATTTATAAATTTTAATCAATCTTATAAGTAACCATTTTGCAAATATTAAAATATGTATTTGCAAATAACAAATAATTAATTATATTTTGTTCTAGGGGCACTGATTTGTTTTTTCAGAAGATAGCAAAATTAATTGTTGAAATATTTCCAAATGAATTAGAGGTTGGTTTATTTATAATTACCTAAGTACCTAGATATGGTTTAGAAAAATTATGAAAACAAGAAACAAATTTACATTATAGAAATTTAAGTATTTTAAAATTAATTGATTAAACATTTTAAAATGTAATAATAACAATGTGATAAATGATTATAATCTTTATATAATTATGTTTGGTATAACTTGTTATTTATATCAAAGGTGAGCAGTTAATAAAACAATTTATTATTTAACTCTAAAAATTTAAAACCCATTTGATAAAAAGTATAAATTTAACTTCATTATAAAGTAGTTGATTAATTAAATTTTAATTACCACATAGGTCACACATAGATTGTCTAACTTTCAGTATTTGTATAATTATAAATAAATATTTTGTCAAAAATGCATCTTATTCTTTTTTATTACACATTAGCTGAAGTAAATAGTGATAAAATTAATTTGTTTTAATTACAGGTGTAGTTATTAGATAATACCTCTATACAAACACGATTTTAACTTCACATAATATTATTAAGTTATTTAAAAATTAATTAACTACTAAGTAGTAAGTTGAAAAGTTAAAAAAAATAAATACATTTTTAACTAATTAATGCCCATATTTGATATGTTTAATAATAAATTATACTCAATATTTTGAGTAGATTGTTAAAAATATAATATTTTAGTAACTGTACCTTTATGCTAGTTACTATTTTATTTATTATTCTTATAGAGTGTGTATTTTATACCACCTAAGACAGAAGGATTCCATCAAACGCATGCTAAAGGTAAGTTAGTAAAAAAATGGAAAAATATTTTGAAGCGTCTTAGGGCAGTAGGTGCACTTGAGATACAGACAAGAATAGTTGATAGTTCATCAGGAAGTCATAACTTAAATGTGTTTACAGGTATTTATTTTATTTTATATTAGAGCAAAAAATACTTATACCTATGCAAATACATAATTGTAGTAAACTAATAACATTAGATCAAGTTAATTTGGCTAAAGAATGGCTTAAAACTGATGGGTTGATTGCTTCGTTTGATGCCATTTTGAAAAACTGGGATATCACATTTGAATTAAGAAACAATGAAATTACTAATTCAATAAATTGCAATTTGTCAGATTTTTTTGAATCTTGGCCAATACTTCAAAGTCCAAGAGGCTATGAATTGGTTTGTTTAATTTAATATTTATTTTAATCATATTATATTATTAAGATTTATACCTAACTAATTCATTAATTTAATTTCTTAGGTGGAAATAGATTTTAGATTAAAATACCCAAATAATAAGTCTCATGATTATAGTCATTTCATAAACAATTGGACTAAGTTTACAAAAGCTATTTGAATATTCGCAGAAGTTCAGTCAAAGATAAACATGCCAATAACTTACTATCTCAATTTGATGCTGCTGAATTGATGAAAGGTATGAATATTTTATTATTTAAATTTCATTATTGAATAATATTTTGAAGTTCTTTTATAACATAATATTCTTTAAAGATTATAGGACTTGTAATATCCTGAAATTATTACTATTACCATATTTGATCTCGACCAAGACTCAAATTAAGGGTAACAACAAAAATAAATCGTGGAAACCATCTCTTGAAGAGTCTGCTATAGCATTTGTTACCCATGTTACTGTAAGTACCTAATAAAAAAATTTGAAGACTTTGTAGCTGTTTGGTTTTTATTCTTAAATTAATCTAGTTTAAAAATTATGTTATTATTTCAGAATTTATCTAATTTAGAAGAGGATATAATTAGAAGACGTTTGAAATATACTGAATATGGGTCTACAATACAGCCATTTATTATATTAACAGGGAATGATATATCTTCCATCGATACAAGCTACATTAGAATAAATGATCAGCTATGGAAAATACAAGTCCTTTACGTGCTCTTAATATTTGTTTTAAGGCATATTTTACATTTCATTGCTTGTACCCAAGAGAATGTTATGAGACTTGGTTACTTTTGCAAACTCATTTTTTAAATTTGGTAACTGGTTTTGATAAGCAAACAGCGATAACTATTAATATTTCAAATAAATTAAAATCTTTAGTTTAGTAATTTTTTATTTTGACTACTGTCTATATTGTTAGAATTGACAATTTAGTATTTTTATTTCGTCGATTGATTTACGTATTTGTTAGTATTTTAATTATTTTTACTGTTAAAAGTATTATTATAACAAATGTTATTAAAATAATATTTAATAAATTCAAAATTCAAAATGTATAACTGTTATTTATGCTCTATAAAAAACCTTTTATCAGTTAATGAATTAGTTTTACATTTACAGATTTTTCATAATTTATATAACTATTCTTTATTCATATGTAACCAAAATTCTTGTGTAAGAAATTTCCGTGGAATTGGTAAATTCAGAAAACATTTAAACAAAGAACATACAATTTCTAATTTAACATTAAATTTAAATCTTAATAAAGTAATAGTTCCAAATTTTGAGATCGATCCTACTTCATCTGAATCTATTTTGTTAAATTCTGAATCTTTAATCTCTCATCCTGAAATTGAAAATAAGATTAATAATTCATATCTTTTTTTGAACTACCTAGTGTATTGTATATAGCATTAAATTATTTAAAAAACTCAATGAAATCAAATTTACTTTCATCATACTTGAATGGTTCTTCGTGGAAATATATATATTCCATGTTTCCTGATAAAATAGTGTTTCCCCCTTTTTTTATATTATGATGATGCAGAAATAGGTAATCCTCTAGCATCCCATTCAGGAGTTCATAAAATGGGTTGTGTTTATTATTCTGTCGCTGCTCTCCCTCCAGAATATCTTTCATCCTTAAATAATATTTTTGTAGCGTTTTTATTTCATTCTGCTGATCGAGGACAATCAAAAATCAATAATAAAAAAATGTTTGCAGCACTAATAGAAGAACTAATTGATGTTCAAGAAAATGGTATTCTACTTTCTACTAATGTAACAATTTATTTTACTTTGGGGCTTGTTTTAGGAGATAATCTAGGTCTCAATTCTATTTTGGGGTTTGTTGAAAGTTTTTCAGCAAACTTTTATTGTCGGATATGTTATTCACCAAAATCTGACCTACAAAATTTGTTAAAAGAATCAAAATTAATCAGAAACAAAGTTAATTATGAAGATCATATTAATCAGGCTAATGTTTCAATAACTGGTATAAAAGAACGTTGTATTTTTAATGATGTACCTAATTATCATGTTATTGAAAATATAGTTTGTGACTTTATGCATGATATTCCAGAAGGAGTAGCTCGCTATGATATGGCAGTTATCATTAATAGTTTAATTCAAGCTAAATATTTCACTTTGGATGAACTTAATAGTCGCATACAGCTTTTTGCATATGGGGTGACAGAACAAAAAAATTCTCCACCTAGCATTAGTCAGTGCAATTTAAACAATGGAAGTATAATAATGTCAGAATCAGAGATGCTATGTTTCATTAGATATTTCAGTCTTATTATTAGAGAATTAGTTCCTTTAAAAAGTGAAATTTGGTATTTATATATTTCATTGCGAAAAATAGTTGATTTGTACTGTACTAGAACTATTCAACCAGAATGTTCAGTTCAGTTAGATGCTCTGGTTGCTGAACATAATAGATTATACCTTAAGTATTCCAATAGAAAATTAAAACCTAAACATCATATCTTAACACATTATGGTAGACTTTGTTAAAAAATGGCCCAATTATTTTAACTTCTTCTATACGCTTTGAAGCTAAACAAAAGGTTTTGAAATCAATTGCTAATTCTATCCCATGTAGAATAAATCTTGGTTATACTCTAGCCCATAAATTGCAAATGCAAAATGTTAGTCGTCTACTTACACAAACTGGTTTAGTGGCAGATTTAAATGTAGAAAAAGGTCATGATATTTTATTTTATAAGGAATTGTTTAAATCATTTAATGGTGTAATACCACAATAGATAATTAATTTTTCTTATGTAGTACCTTGGTGTGAATATAAAGGTATATATTATAAACCAGGGGTGATTTTAACCCTGGGTGTTAATCTAGATAACTGTTTTTTTGGAGAAGTAAAAAGGATAATTATTGGTCAGTCTAAAATTCCATATTTTTTAGTTACAACAATACAGTCTGTAGGGTTTGACCGCCACTTCCATGCTTATGAAGTATTACCTTATAATAATAATAATAATAATAATAATAATAACCAAGTTATGGGATATTATGTTTATCAATTACCTGATGTCACCCCTTCAGTAACTCGAGTTTTAGGCAATGGTAAATTGTATGTTACATTAAGATATAAATTGTAATGTTTTTTATTTTTTTTAACTTTTAAGTTGTTCTCAATGTTTGTTTTATTTAAATCTAATCGCATAAAAAATATGCAATGAAAGATACCTGTTTTATTATATTAAGCTTGTTATTTGTTATTTAACTTAATAACTTAATTTGTAACATTAAATTAAATTAAATTTTTTATCTGCATTTATTTTTTTATAATTTAGACAAGTTTCATCACACGTTCGTTCCGTATCCTGTATATCTTAATAATTATTCGTGTTGCGAATGATAGAATTTAAGGTATCTATTATATATTGAGAGGCAAATCGTATTCGTTTTATTTTACTCATTAGCATAGGTGAATATTGAGGGCTTAATCCTTCTCAAAACGTAATCAAGCCACACCGCATGGTTGAAGAGTTTAAAAATATATGTTTACATGGATCAGACAAACATGTTAAGCCCTCCAAAATGTGATCAAATATCTACGTATGTTCATTAGTTAATTACCTACAACATTTTTTTTTATAATATCTTAATTATAATTACACAGATAAATTGTAGATATGACTATTTAGATAACAGTGTTTCCACAACTAAAATTAAGATAGGTAGTGGCTCAGTAGGTTAGGCGTTAGGTTAGGAAAATATAGGTAGGGTATATCCCCAATCAAAGTTCGTACCTCTGCTAGTTCTCAAAATTTTTTGCAATAGAAGGATAAAAATAATATTTATTTTAACTCCTTAAAATAGTTGAGATAACATAATTGATGAAGTTATACTGATACTTTTTATGAAGTAAATTAGAACTGAAACTGGCGTTGTATTAACTAACATAGATGAATTAAACCAAGTGGTTACTATTAACTACATAGCGTAGTCAAATTAACATTCCTTCATCCTTAGGCGAAATTTAACGCTCGAATGTGCACGGAATTGACTTATTTGGTGGTTAAAACAACTCCACAGTTTAATGTGTGTACTTGTGATGTATGATACCAAGGTATGATTAATCAACAACATTTTATCATTCGAGATACCTTTTACCAAAAAAAATATTTAGTGTTACCAACACTTATATTTCAGTGAATAAGTTAAAATTTATTTTAATTTTTGATAACACAAAAGTATACAACATTTTTTTTTGTATTATCATTTTTTCACAAAGAACGATATTAGTTAGAAGTCTAAAAATATTTTTATTTTAATTAACACTAGTTTTAGATAAATATACATACGTAATTTAATTAGTTTGGGTACGTAGTAAATTGTAGAAAATAAAATAAAGTCATGTCTATTGCAATGGACAATGGTAGCGAAAGCGTTAACTCTAAGACGTGCCCCAAGAGGGTTGATTATTTGAACTTAGGGTAGTTTTTCAGTTTTTCCTTATTATCTCATAAACTATTCTACATACGATAAAAATGTATAGAATGTTTATTATAAATAATCTTATTTCCTATAAAAATGTTATGATAAAAAATAAGCTCAAATCTATTGATTTACAATAAAATCAATAATAAATATAATGTGCACCATTTCCAATATCGATGGTCTTTACATATATGTATTTATAAATCAATGAATAATACGAATAATAATATTTTATTAAACTAACTTAAAATTTAATTTTCAATACAAATGCTATATTATGAATTATAAATGCAACAAACATATTTTATTAATTTATTTAATTCCAATAAATAATAGTTATAATTACTAGTTTTATTATGAGATAAAAAAAATATTTTATTTATTACTTAAGTGTATGGTTTCTTAAGAGGAGTATCTCGAGTAAATCCAGGATATTGTTTTCTGTAATCTTGAACCACCTAAAAATATCAACATAATATTATTTATTTATTAATATTGAAATATTCGATTTATTTTTAGGTACCTGTAAAACAAATTGTTTTTGATCTTCATTTGTGGTAAACTTGTCGTTATATTCCTGCATAAGTTTGACTCCTCGTTCTGCCGTATCATTGACCACTTTTATTGAATTTATAATGCTTTTTCCTTTCTGGTACTCTTCTAATTCATGCCACTTTTCTGGTTGAACTTTTAAAAAAATCTTCTGGAATATTGAACCTTTTGAATACATTTTTGGAATTGGGACCTAACAAATTCAATGGTAAATCTTTATCCAGAAAGTGTTGTACATTTTCAAACTTAACAATATACTTTTTTTTGTGGTTCTCTTTCGGGTTGTTCTTGCAAAATTTTTTCAGCCATTTTTAATCGTGTGTTAATACTTAATCTTTCATCAAATATTGAAAAAGCAGAATACTCTTCATTCAAATACCATAAATGATTTATGAATTTCATTATTGCTTTTTCTGCTACTTTTTTATCGTTTATTTTATACAGTTCTAATTTTTTTAGAAACATTATGTCATTCATTGGAGCTGTAATTGCGTTTGAAGTTAAAAACCATGATTCTGCATAGCACTTAATAATAAAACAACATAATCTTTTTAATGCCTTTTCTTCACGTTGCGTAATTTTGAATTGTTTTCGAAATAAAAATATTTTTAAACAATACAACGCTTTTGCCATCCATCGTGTAAGATGATAAGCACCTGGAGCTTTAAAACGTATCCTCCGTGGTGGCATACCTCCTAAAAATATTATTATTATTTCAAGAAATTCTTTATAGTCATCTCTAGGCAAACCTTCTTTAATTTTATTTGTACAAAATTGTATTGTTTCGTCAGAAACGTCTTTTAAAATATCTTTCACATTTTCATCGGTAGACCATATTGAATATGAATTTGTATCTATAGTGTTCCATTCTTTTCTGAACTTTTTAAATAATAAAATATCTGGGCCTGTACTTGTTGCTAATTTTATTACAGTAAATACACCTTGTAGAATTATTTCATACACATGATGCCTACATGCCAAGTATAAAATACCACGATCAAGTTTTTGCTCTAATAAATGACATGCACCGTTTAATCGACCTGTGTTACTAGCAGTTGTATCAAATACAAAAACCTGTACTTAGTCTAATAAAGACCATTCCTCTAGAGTTTCATATATACCAGAACTTGTTTCATATCCCGTACCCGAATCAAGTTTTGGAACTCTTAATAACTGCTCTACATTCGGCGCTATAACAATTACTGGAAGAGTCGATCAACTTTCAAATGTCCGGTTATGTCTGGTAATAATTTAGAATCCCAATGAAGTACGTATGATTTAAAATTTAAATTATCAAACTTATATTTCATCTCTTTAAAAATATGCTGTCAAAATTTTTCCCTAGCAGATTTGATTGATGTTCTATTAATAATATACTCATTTTAATCTACCGATATTGCATCTAAAACTGCAGTTAATATATGGACACAATCCCTGTCACTTATCTTACACTTATCAAAAACAGCTAATAATCGTGGAGATATTATTTCTTTTTTAGCTCTTTTTGTTTTTGTTGGCCCAGACTCAGGTAAAATTTTATCTTGGATGCCCGATGTACTAGGAATAAAACGATTTGGTGATTCTAGCACAGTGTTTCCCAACCTTTTTACCACCACGGACCACTTCCACAATATTATTAAAAGAGGAAATGAAATATTTTTAAACGAGAAGATCTAGAGTTACTTGAAAATTCTTGTGATTTGAAATTTGAATTACAATTTGCTTATTTAGCAGATATTTTGACATCTAAATAACCTTAATTTGCAACTTCAAGGTTCCGGGACACAAACCTTGAATTGAGCAACATTTTATTTTTGAAGATAAAATTCGCGCATTTGTATGTAAATTAATCTATGGATGAATAAATCGAGAATAATAATTATTCAGCATTTCTAGATTATTCCAAACTTTATCAACGACGATCAATATGTTGATATTTAATCGAAATTCAACATAACATAAAACATCGGAAAAATTAAATCTGAATTTATCTGCTACTTTCCGGAATGGAACGAAGCACAGTGTTCACCAAAAACTAATTGAAACCTTTGTGCAAAAGCTGAAGAAGCCCCAGAATATCTTCAAGAAGCTGTCATCGAACTGCAAAATGACTGACTGCAAAAATATGTTTGATTCTGTATGAACCTTGAGGAATTTTGCAGAAGGCGTTATTACATTCAACTACGGGAAATTGCCTTACGTTATTTAGTAGTATTTTCAACTACGTATTGTGTGAACAAGGATTTTCCAGTCTACTTGTGATCAAAAATAAACAGAGAAATCGCTTGACGTAAGTGACATGCGTTTAGCGCTATTAGCAACATTCATCCGAGAATTGAAAACTGGTCAAAGAAATGCAGCCACAAAATCACACCTGGCAAATTATTATAAAGTTTAATAATTAAATAATATATATAATAGTACAGTAAAATAATAAAATTTTCAATAAATTCTTAGTATTCTTGTTAATGAGCAAAAAGGTCTTCCTATTTGTGTAAAATTGAGGTGGTCCGCGACCTAA